ATGTAACTCTTGGGTTAGTTTTATTTCCTCCCCATGCTTAGTAACAACCCTGTTAACGACTCATCAAGACTTTTCAAATCAGAACATTCAGAAAGGATTTCTATGCTAGCACAGAGAGGAACATACAAATTCTTCCCATTGATTAAACCAAAGTAAACAAACCTGAGTCTCAGATGACGTAACTACCTTCACTCAGAACTCTGGTATTATCCAACCCGTCAGTTTTCTGTACATCTCTAAGGCGCAAGCATAACTCTCCATGGTCACCACAATGCAGATAGAAGTTGCTCAAAGACCCCCACCAACCACCTGCCTAAACTCCTAAAGGCGTTATGTCCATATCCTGACTCCCACAGGTGGCCACCTGAAGCTAAGAGTGAGAAAACCTTAGCAAGCAAAACATAACAGCACAGAGGCCTGCAGAAATAGGACCACTTGCAACATCAGTCAGGACCTGAGGGAGAACGGCTCTGTTCCTGCAATGCCCAGTAAAATATATATACTGACCACAATTTGGGCAAGATTTGTTGTAATAACACAGCATGCAATCTGCCCTAAGTCCACAGTTAGAGAGCATGTGCTGAGAGCATACCATCGTTGGCTAAGTGCTGCAACCAGTCATACTCTTTCTCCGTCTGCTCAGCCAATCTGTATCGCTCAGCCCATCGGAACAGATCACGGAGGGTGATGAAGCCTTGCTTTCCAGCAAACACTGAAGAACCTCTGCGATAGGACTATTAAAGGACCAAAACAAATGAAAAAGGGCAACGGCAAGCATACAGTACAACTTACACAAAATTCCTGACAGATTTAAGCTCCCATAAAAATGATTCATTCCACTAAGATTAATTTTTCTTAAATGTAAAGGGACTGCAGGGCTTTCCTGGTGGCGCAGTGGTTGAGAGTCTGCCTGCCGATGCAGGGGACGCGGGTTTGTGCCCCGGTCTGGGAGGATCCCGCGTGCCGCGGAGAGGCTGGGCCCGTGAGCCGTGGCCGCTGGGCCTGCGCGCCCGGAGCCTGTGCTCCGCGGCGGGAGAGGCCACAACAGTGAGAGGCCCGCGTACCGCAAAAAAAAGTAAAGGGACTACAATCATTTGAAGATAAATGTTCAAACCCATGTGTAAGTAAAGAACATAACAAATAATGGAATTCCATCTAACACAAAGAAAATGATTACAAATAATAATACAAATAGTGGCAAACACGCAGGAAAATTAATCCCACAGTGTGGGACCACAGTAGTAAGAGTGGCAATTATTAGCTTTCTAGGAAGTTAACTTAACAGTGTATAATTCTGATAAAGAACACTTTTAACCCCATAAAATAAATGGGATATTCTTGGGACTTCCCTGATGGTGCAGTGGTTAAGACTCCACACTCCCAATGCAGGGGGTCCGGGTTCAATCCCTGTTCAGGGAACTAGATCCCAGATGCATGCCGCAACTAAGAGTTTTTGCATGCCACAACTAAGGAGTCAAGCCGCAACTAAGGAGCCCACGACTGCAACTGAGGAGCCCATCTGCCGCAACAAATAAATAAATAAATGATGAGTAAGTTCTGGGAAATCTTTAGAAAAAAAGCGGGGGGGGGGGATATTCTTAAAAAAAAACAAACTGTAGCTTTGTAGAATTGAAAAGGGAGAGCCACACATAAAGGATCTCTTTAGTTATGTCCATTCAAGGATTACACCCATTTAAAAAACAAAAACTGCAGTTTGTTGATGCCAAATTCCAACCTAAGTAAAATGTTCCATATTATCCACAAGTAGGGAACTGTCATCACATATAATTATCAGAAAAATTTTAACATGGTATTAAATTGCCAATTTACAATACAAAACCAAAAACGGGATATTAATGGGATGAGTTTTAAAGATAAGATCCTTACTCTGAAAAAAATAATAAATGGGTGGATGGGCTGTTTCTACCACAGGGAGCCTCAGATTCTGATCACCAAATCTAATCCACACGTTCCATTTGAAACTAAGTGATGGAGATGGAATACCTGAAGCTCCAGCATGACTTTAACCAACTTGCTGCAGTAGGAGGGTGGCAAGCTACACCGCTTGTGCAAGATTGTTTCCAACTCAGAACTAGGCAGTTCATCAAAGTGCAATTCCACAAATCGATTCCTGAAGGCTCTAGAAAGCATCTGGGAAACACACAGAAACAACATGATACAAAGGACCTTTTCATTTAATTTCTAAAATGTAGGCTCCGCTATTCATCACAAAAAGAAAAATCCTTCAAAAGAGGTAAAAACATCTCAATCTTACCAAGACAACGTTTCTACTCGATTCAGTAACAAACAGGAGTAAGGGAGCAAATGCTACACACCTTTCTGCCTCCATAAATTCCTGGGGGATTCTGGGTAGCAAAAAGCATGAAGCGAGGATGTGCTTTAACAACTTCTTGCGTTTCTGTTATGAGCAGTTCACGGTTATCATCCAACAGTCTGTTCAGTGCCTCTAGCACATCGGTAGGGGCCAAATTTAACTCATCTAAAATAATCCAATAGCCCTTTCTCATAGCATCAATAAGAACACCTTAGAGGAAATACATAGTGAAAATTAGTGCATATATTAGTCCAAAGTTTTTTTTTAATGTTATATACAAATCAACAAATCCTAGATTATCATTAAATTTCAAAGCAAATTATTCTCTGCAGCTAGTCATGTCCCCAAATAATCTGTGGTTCTGAGTATCAAGGAAGCATAATTTTCAATTAAAAATACTCCTTTTAATTTTTTATTATTATTATTTTTTTTTGCGGTACGCGGGCCTCTCACTGTTGTGGCCTCTCCCGTTGCAGAGCACAGGCTCTGGACGCGCAGGTTCAGCGGCCATGGCTCACGGGCCCAGCCTCTCCACGGCATGTGGGATCTTCCAGGACCAGGGCACGAACCCATGTCCCCTGCATCGGCAGGCGGACTCTCAACCACTGCGCCACCAGGGAAGCCCACTCCTTTTTATTTTGCACAGAGGGGGAGCCAAAGCTGATGAATATTACATTTACAACTTACTTTTTCCCCTGAAGTCTACTTTCACTTAAGTCACCACATTCTCATCTATTCTCAGCTTCCCTCTGTTCAATGCTTACCCCTCTTCTGATTCTCTAGGAAATAAAGTAGTTCAACTGCACTCTTCAAAACTAGGCCCCAGGACTTCCCTGGTGGCGCAAAGGTTAAGAATGCACCTGCCAAGGCAGGGGACACAGGTTCCATCCCTGGTCTGGGAAGATCCCACATGCCACGGAGCAACTAAGCCCACGTGCCACAACTACTGAAGCCCATGCACCTAGAGCCCGTGCTCCACAGCAAGAGAAGCCACCGCAAAATAAGAAGCCCATGCACCACAATGAAGAGTAGCCTCTGCAACTAGAGAAAGCCCGCGTGCAGCAACGAAGACCCAACACAGCCAAAAATTAATTAATTTTAAAAAAAGAAAAAAAAAACCTAGGCCCCAGTCCTGTGTACAGCCAACAAGATTAGTCTGGCTCAAAGGAAGCTGGGGCCCTAACCATCACCCCTTAACCATCACATAGCTCAGGGAGAAAGAAAAAACAGCTATTATGGCGTCCATCCATGTGCCTCAACTGGAAAGGAGGAAGACTGCTTGAGGAGATCCAAGGAATAGAATTATAACCTTACCTTCTTTAAACATGAGCTTCCCTGAGGAGTCGGATGTGTAACAACCAATGTACTCCTGAATATCTGTGTGCTCGTGGTTGTTAATACGCACACAGTGGTTACCAGTAGCTGCGGCCAGCCACCGTATCAGGCTTGTTTTACCCACTGATGTCTCTCCCTGAATCAGCACTGGATATGTTCTTTAAAGGATCAGCCAATAAAGCAATTAAAAAGAGGAAAAAAAAAGACAGAAACCAGAATTAAATCATGTAGCATTTAAAAAAGAACAGCTATAACATTTAACATCATCATAAGAGAACATTTTTATATACCTATGCATTACTAATGGAACGTTTCTTAAGCCCTGAGAAGTTTCTATGTAAAAATGGTTCCTCAGGGGCTTCCCTGGTGGCACAGTGGTTGAGAGTCCGCCCGCCGATGCAGGGGACACAGGTTCGTGCCCCAGCCTGGGAGGATCCCACATGCTGCCGAGTGGCTAGGCCCATGAGCCATGGCTGCTGAGCCTGCGCGTCCAGAGCCCGTGCTCCACAACGGGAGGGGCCACAACAGTGAGAGGCCCGTGTACCGCAAAAAAAAAAAAGGTTCCTCAGAAACTACTGAGGAATGTAATTCCAGCCTCTCTTGCACTAGTGAGAAACAGTAAGCAGGAGTAACCGTTACTCACTTAACAAGTAATGGGTGATGAGTATTCATCATCAGAATACTAAAAAGCAACCTTAATGATGGCCAAAATAGTCTGTGTCCATATTGCTCCCACCAAAGGTACAACTAGAAACGATGCTTTGTGTCTGGAGAAAAGTGACAGGATTGACTTAGAAAATAATTATTGACTCAGCCAATGAATAACAATAGAGCCCTTTGAAAGTTCAGCAAGTAGGACTAGACTTTCAGCAATGCCTATGCTGGTAAGACATCAGAGCAGTGTTAGAAAAGGTCCACACACCCTGCAGAGACCACTCGGACTATATCTCTCAGGTTCAGCTTGACGGAAGACGTGAGGATGTATGTCTCATCTATTGTAGGTTCCTTGTCTCCCACCGAAATCCAGTAGCCTTCCACCTGGATAAGCCGACCTCCTTTTGGTTCTGGAATAGGCTGAAAGACACAAGAGTTAGAGAAATAACCCACAGACGCATGACAACTATGGCATTCTTTCAGAGAGGGGTGTAAAGTGGGAAAAAAATTGTCACCAAGAATGCTGCTTGTTCTGGATGCTTTCAACATTAAAACCCACAAAATGAACATGAAAAAAAATTACTTTGAGGAAGGAGAACAAAATGGTGACATGTACTGGTTTTAAAATTCAGGTGGGGTTAGGTAGATATGGGGGAAAACTTGAATGAAAATAATTTCTCAGATAGTTTATGACTCAGTTCTCTTCTCTCATCTACCAAACATCCCACTCTAATAAAGTATTTTGGTCAAAAACATGTATTTCATATAAACCATATTCCCAAAACATGGCCAGTGTTGTACTGGGGCGGGGAGAGGGGGGCGCTATGCACTACTATGTTCTGGATCCCCTAGAAGACATTAAAAATAAAAGCAACCCTCCAGAGACTAATTCGTTAAGGATAATATTGTAAATGATGGCATAACCTTTTGAAGGTATGGTGGAAGTTAAGTTGATTTAAACAAAACTGCCATTTTTACAGATCAAAAATGGTCAAGTGGTGGTCAGATATATAGCTGTAGAAAAGTGCTCTTCTAGAACATTTAGCCCCCTGACTTGAAGCCACAGTTGTAGGCACTGCTTTTAAGGACTTCTCAGTTGGGCAGAAGAGCAGTAAGAAAAAAGAAATGTTAAGCTACCATCATATATAACCATGAGGAAAGCATACAAAAAAATAAGTGGAGGGGAATGGTAATGGGATAATAATCAAAGCAAGCTTGAGTCTTTTCTCAATGTTTTCACAGTTTACCGAAATATATATTCATGTGTTACTTGTATAATTTTTTAAAAGGAAAAAACATTGAATCCAAAGTACCCATAATCCCAATGGCTCTTTCTTCCTAAAGAGCAAGCAATAAAACATAAACAAGTCAGTTTGTGAGCCAGTTTCTCTCAGCCTCTTTCAATCCCATGTTATTCTATAATTTCCTCTGTCAAACTGAAATGGTTATTGTGTATAATAGAAACAAGAAAAGGAAAGGGGAAAAAAGCCCAACCATCAATCAGAATGGGGGTGTGCAGATAAACTGTGGTGCAAGCTTCCAATGAAATGCTATGTGACAATTAGAAAGCACGTCACTCACAGTGATCTGTGGTACAGACATAAAAATATATCCAGGATACAGTTAGGTTAAGAAAGGAAACTACAGAACATTCTTATGAGATGGTTTCATTTATATTACTTATATTACATATATACAAGCAGACCTTGGAGATTTTCCAGATTTGATTCCAGACTACAGCAATAAAGCAAGTATCACAATAAAGCCAATATGGCAATAAAGCCCGTCACACAAATTTTTTGGTTTCTCAATGCATATGAAAGTTATGTTTACACTGTACTACAATCTATTAGGTGTGCAATAACATGTCTAAAAAAGATATACGTATCTTAATTTTTAAATGCTTTATTGCTAAAAAATGCTAACCATCAACTGACAACACAGGGTTGCCACAAACCTTCAATTTGTAAAAATCTGCAATATCTACTAAGTGCAATAAAGCAAACTGCAATAAAGTGAGGTATGCCTGTATTAGAATTTACCTTGATAAATCTACACACACACATATATTAGAATTTGAATATATATAAAAGATTTTTAAACTTTTATATATATATATATATATACACACACACACATACACACACACACACGATTTAGATGGAAAGGACTAACTATAGGGTTTAAATCTCCAAAGATCAGGATTATCAGGAATTTTCACCACCTACGTTAAAATTTTGTGGAACTGACAATTTTTATAATTAGAAACAAGTTTTGCAAAAAAACCAAAACCAAAAACAAAACAGCTAACAATTTGATATTTCAGCCTTTCATTTAAGTCAAAAATCAAAAAAGAACCTACCTGCTTCAGCAGACTTTTAACATTGCCAGAAACAATGTGCTGACAGATGAGCTTCTGAACTATTGGGTGCGATGCCCTGTCAAGCTGTGTTAAGAAACCCAAACAAAAGCCCTAGAGAAAACACAAATACGTGTAACACTAGTTATCCTTCTGCAATAACAGGCCAACTTATTTCAGAAACAAAATTCAACCTCTCAGGTGGTGCTGGTGCCTAGAATAACTTTTTTTTTAAAAGAATATATTTTTTATTATTTATTTTACTTTATTTTAATTAATTAATTTATTTATTTATTTGCTGCGTTGGGTCTTCGTTGGCTGTGTGCAGGCTTCCTCTAGTTGCAGCAAGCGGGGGCTATTCTTCGTTGCAGTGCGTGGGCTTCTCATTGTGGGGGCTTCTCTTGTTGCGGAGCACGGGCTTTAGATGCGCGGGCTTCAGTAGTTGTGGCTCGCGGGCTCTAGAGCCCAGGCTCAGTAGCTGTGGCGCACGGGCTTAGATGCTCCACAGCATGTGGGATCTTCCTGGACCAGGGCTTGAACCTGTGTCCCCTGAATTGGCAGGTGGATTCTTAACCACTGCACCACCATGGAAGTCCCAGAACAACTTTTTTTTTTTTTTTTTGCGGTAT